GGGGAGCGGGCGATGTGGGGGGAGTGGGTGTGGTAGGTTAGGGTTTGGGTGTCGTGGGGGGTAATGGAGGAGTGGGGATGGGCTGGCCGGTTTGGGGCCGACCTGGCTAGCAGCAAGGCCAACTGGGCCAGTGGGGGGGGGTTCCTTTTTTTTGTTTTATCTTTTACCTTTTTTATTTATTTTATTTTCTGTTTTCTTTTAAAACCACCAATTTATTTTAACTATTTTAAGATAAATAATTAGCGCCTAAATTAGTGTTGTAAATTACTCCCATAAAAAGCTTGACTTCCAAATAAATTAGTTTAGGATTTTATAAAATTCAAAAGTCATTTATTTAATTGTTTTAGACACTATGTTAATTACTTTTGAGCATTTAAACATGTTTTAAAGATGTGGTTTCTCCACCATTATTACCCATGAACTATTGGGCACGTTTAGAGCATTTTAGTTTTAATGTTTGGAAACCTTTATTATTTGACTTAAAATCAAATTTGAATTCGAATCGCTTTTGAACTAACGCGAGATTAACAACAGTAACCATGATGACATGGCATCATTAACGTGGGATTACTGTAGCCTGATTACCCGGGCGTCACAGGGCTTAGTGGAGAAGAGGAGAGGCGGCCAGGGCTAGGCCGCGCGCCCCTCCCCCTAGTCCGAATAGGACAAGGAGAGGGGGGGCGCCCCCCCCCCCCTTTCCTTCCTCTCTTTCCCTCCTCTTTCCCCACTTCTCCAAGTACAACAAGGAAAGGAGGGAGTAGGACTCCCCATGGCGCGCCTCCTCCCTGGCTAGCTGGCCCCTCCCCCTTGCTCCTTTATATACGGGGGCAGGGGACACCTCTAGACACAACAATTGATCTCTTGATCTCTTAGCTGTGTGCGGTGCCCCCCTCCATCATAGTCCTCCTCGATAATATTGTAGCGGTGCTTAGGCGAAGCCCTGCGATGGTAGAACATCAAGATCGTCAGCACGTCGTCGTGCTGACGGAACTCTCCCTCAACACTCGGCTGGATCGGAGTTCGAGGGACGTCATCGAGCTGAACGTGTGCTAGAACTCGAAGGTGCCGTAGTTTCGGTGCTTGATCGGTTGGGCCGTGAAGACGTACGACTACATCAACCGCGTTGTTCTAACGCTTCCGCTTTTGGTCTACGAGGGTACATAGACAACACTCTCCCCTCTCGTTTCTATGCATCACCATGATCTTGCGTGTGCGTAGGAATTTTTTTTTAAATTACTACGTTCCCCAACAGTGACATCCGAGCCAGGTTTTATGCGTAGATGTTATATGCACGAGTAGAACACAAGTGAGTTGTGGGCGATACAAGTCATACTACTTACCAGCATGTCATACTTTGGTTCAGCGGTATTGTTGGATGAAGCGGCCCGGACCGACATTACGCGTACGCTTACGCGAGACTGGTTCTACCGACGTGCTTTGCACATAGGTGGCTGGCAGGTGTCAGTTTCTCCAACTTTAGTTGAACCGAGTGTGGCTAGGCCTGGTCCTTGAGAAGGTTAAAACAGCACTAATTTGATGAACTATTCGTTGTGGTTTTGATGCGTAGGTAAGAACGGTTCTTGCTCAGCCCGTAGCAGCCACGTAAAATTTGCAACAACAAAGTAGAGGATGTCTAACTTGTTTTTGCAGGGCATGTTGTGATGTGATATGGTCAAGACGTGATGCTATATTTTATTGTATGAGATGATCATCTTTTGTAATCGAGTTATCGGCAACTGGCAGGAGCCATATGGTTGTTGCTTTATTGTATGAAATGCAAGCGCCCTGTAATTGCTTTACTTTATCACTAAGCGGTAGCGATAGTCGTAGAAGCAATAGATTGCGAAACGACAACGATGCTACTATGCAGATCAAGGTGTCGCGCCGGTGACCATGGTAATCATGACGGTGCTTCGGAGATGGAGATCACAAGCACAAGATGATGATGGCCATATCATATCACTTATATTGATTGCATGTGATGTTTATACTTTATGCATCTTATCTTGCTTTGATTGACGGTAGCATTTTAAGATGATCTCTCACTAATTATCAAGAAGTGTTCTCCCTGAGTATGCACCGTTGCGAAAGTTCTTCGTGCTGAGACACCACGTGATGATCGGGTGTGATAGGCTCTATGTTCAAATACAATGGGTGCAAAACAGTTGCGCACACGGAATACTCAGGTTAAACTTGACGAGCCTAGCATATACAGATATGGCCTAGGAACACGGAGACCGAAAGGTCGAACGTGAATCATATAGTAGATATGATCAACATAGTGATGTTCACCATTAAAAACTACTCCATCTCATCTGATGATTGGACATGGTTTAGTTGATTTGTATCACGTGATTACTTAGACGACTAGAGAGATGTCTGTCTAAGTGGGAGTTCTTTAGTAATATGATTAATTGAACTTAAATTTATCATGAACTTAGTACCTGGTAGTATTTTGCAGGTCTATGTTGATTGTAGATAGATGGCTCGTGCTGTTGTTCCGTTGAATTTTAATGTGTTCCTTGAGAAAGCAAAGTTGAAAGATGATGGTAGCAATTACATGGACTGGATCCGTAACTTGAGGATTATCCTCATTGCTGCACAGAAGAATTATGTCCTGGAAGCACCGCTGGGTGTCAGGCCTGCTGCAGATGCAACTGACGACATTAAGAAAGTTTGGCAGAGCAAAGCTGATGACTACTCGATAGTTCAGTGTGTCATGCTTTACGGCTTAGAACCGGGACTTCAACGATGTTTTGAACGTCATGGAGCATATGAGATGTTCCAGGAGTTGAAGTTAATATTTCAAGCAAATGCCCAGATTGAGAGATATGAAGTCTCCAATAAATTCTATAACTGCAAGATGCAGGAGAATAGTTCTCTCAGTGAACACATACTCAAAATTTCTGGGTATAATAATCACTTGATTCAAAATGTGAGAGAGGAGAAAGCAGTTGCTTCCCTCACGTCGTCGGCGCCACCCCCGCTGCAATCCTAACCCTAGCCTTCCAGTCGCGAACGCGATCGCCTCCTGTATGCTCAGGGTTTTGTGTGGTTGGAGCCTCACGACTCATGATGTCCTTTTTTGTGCATGTACTCTTACTCTGCGTATGAGATTAGGGTCAAGTCAAACTCTACTAAGTTTGACCAAATTTATATTAAAAAATATAAACATCTACAATACCAAATATATATGGTATGAAACTACATTTCCTAATGAATCTAGCAATATTAATTTGGTATTGTGAATGTTAATATTTTTTCCTATAACTTTGGTCAAAGTAGAGATACTTTAACTTCGGACAAAACTTACATATAGACTAAAAAGGACCGGAGAGTTGAAATACTTTTTTCTTTAACCTTTTTCTATGTATAGGGCTGCAGTTTAGTCTGTGCGAGGTGAAATACCGACGGGGCGACTTAGGATGGTTGGAAAGGAACGAACGACGGACTTTCCCCACACACACACACACACACGACCCTGGAAATTGTTGTTGGCCCTGGACATGTAGCACGGGTAAGTCCTAATCATATCCGTGAATAATTAATTCCCATATGTAATTTGTTTTCGGGGAATTCCTGTATGTTTTCAATGTGTTGTGTTCCTCACATCTAAAATTCATTTGAAGGTTGTGAGCCGATGGACTAAAATCCCTCTCGCTACACTTGACCAAGAGGAGAACGAGAAGTTGATCCACCTTGCGAAAAAATTGCATGAGCGTGTTATTGGCCAGGATGAAGCTGTTAATTTGGTTGCGCAAGCAGTCCTACGTTCTAGGCTCGGATTTGGACAAATCAGACAACTGATAAGTGCATTCCTCTTTTTGGGCCCGATTGGCGTCGGAAAGACAGAACTTGCTAAAGCCCTCGCTGAGAAGATATTTGACAACGAGAAGGCATTGATTCGCTTTGATATGTCGGAATATGCTGATAGTGGATCTGTGTCACGTCTCACCGGAGGATCTCGAAGGTTTGATTCTTAAACTTGATATACACTTTCTGTTTCTAGGCACACACATATCTCAAATAACAAAATTTGATTTTCTAAAGCTATGAAGAATATGGACAACTCACCGAGAAAGTCAAGAGGCTCCCATATAGTGTTATCCTTTTCGACCAAGTGGATAAAGCAAATGCCTCGGTATTCAAGGTTTTTCACCAGCTGCTCGACGATGCTATGTTGACCGATGGCAAAGGGCAAGTTGTAGATTTCAAGAACACTATCGTCATTATGACCTCAAATATAGGAGCAGAGCACCTACCGTCGAGAATTATGGGCGAAAATACAATCAAATCTGGAAGAGATCTCCTCATGAATCAGGTTTGTGAATCCCAACTATTCTTGTAACGTCCTCGATTGGCAAGTCAATGATCATCTTATATACACTTGTTCATGCAGGTTAAGAAGCGCTTTAAGCCTGAACTTATCAATAGACTAAATAAGGTTGTGATATTCGAGCCACTTTCACACGATGAATTGAGGAAGATTGTGAAAATCCAGATAAATAATGTCATTTTGACAGTAGCTTCCAAGGGTGTCGCTGTACATGCAACTGATGCGGCCCTAGACGTCATCCTGTCAGAATCACATGACCCGGTGAGTATATATACAGTAGCTTTTTTTCATAACCATCACAAGATGTCGATCCATTGTCCAGTTTTTAACGCTTCAACGCCCGTAGGTGGACGGCGCAAGGCCCATTAGAAGGTGGGTGCAGAATCACGTGACCACGATTCTCTCGGACATGCTGGTCGACGGAGAAGCCTGTGCTGGCTCGACAATCTCCATCGATGCTGCCGCTGACGATAAGAGGGGGCTAACGTTCCAAGTGCTGAAGAAGCAGCAGGAGTTGGCAGATCAATGAGATGATTTTGGCCGTTGTCACTCACATGATAGATAAAGGAAGATGCATGCTTACATGATGCATAGGCATGTAATGTACACAGAGGTGATCATATCTTGTAGTAAAGGGTTAATGAATGTAACGACAAGTGCGTACGGGTGTTTGTTGTTTCTTTGTTTGATTGTTTTTTCTTCTTTAACTTTCAATATGTATAAACAAGTTACTATTTCTTTTCACAAAAAATATGGATTTTTCTGGAATTTCTCAGCAGAGCGCACACCGGGTGGAGCACTCCAAGTATAACTAAAACTTGTAACTTAAGGACAATGTCAGTTTCAACACTAAGATGTAAGGATTATTACAAATTAGAATCCAGACGCACAACTTTTACACACTAAATTCTTTTCAGCAAAATAATGACTCGTCGAGCACAAACCATAGTACTCAGATAAGATCAGCGGCCCGGGAACAAACATAAATATTGATTCCTCTTCTTCACACCCTTGTCCTCACCGTGGAAGTTACCGGTGGAACCGACAATACTCGGTGATGAGAACATCGACCTGCAGGATCCAATAGGGCCCCTCGTCTTCCCTTCCCATTGGTGGTGACTCTTAACACACCGTCTACACTTCTGGAATTTCCTTATACGCCGGGTGGCAGGCTCTTCGCTGAGAGCTAAAACACATGCGCTCGGCAAACTAATAGACGTCGAGAGTACCTCTCGGCAACAGGGGCATCTCGGCAAACACATGATATTTCCGAGAGTCATACTCCGCAACATGTGACTCAGCAAAGGCACTATTTACCGGCAGCCAAACAACTGTCACACGGCAACGTGTTGCCATGTGGCTCATCCGGGGCGAATAACGGCGTGGTGACGGTAGCAATGCTTGGCCAAGAGCAGCTCTCGGCAAAGCTCCAGCTCTCAGCAAAAACTTTAGTCCCACCTTGCCTAGAGATAAGCAACATGACCAGTTTAAATAGTTGGATAGTCTAGACACAATAAGCTTTGATCTTCATTACACTCATGTTAAGAAGATGTACCATTGATTTAAATCTTCACCTGTTCCGGGCAGAGAAGATTCACGGTACCATTGATTCAAGTATTATTATTTTGAGTTTTTCGTCCGTGTCATCACATGGCCCTTGTTACCGTTTAAATCCTTGGAAAATCGTACGATGACGGAATTCCTCGAGAGCTGGCACGGTGTCAGCACATGGCCCCTGTAGGGTGTGCTAAAAGTTTGGGCGCGTTTCGGATAAGCCTCCCCTGGGTCCGCTTGTAAACCACACCATTTCCGAGGTAGTCTCTGGGTATTGAGAGGGAACACGTCCGATTTGTGAAGGAAGTGCGGGTCTTGTGGCACCGTTGGCCTCAAAAATTCTTGTGCTCTCAAAGGAGGCCATCGCATAACACATGCCAGCCCCCCGCATTTTTCGCACCCGCATGCAACATTTGAGACATTTATTACTCTGCTAGGGTTTCAGCGTCGGGAATTGCATATCTGCAAAGCAGCACACGGAATCACGCCCGGAAGCGGAATGGCTATGTGATGTCCTTGCAACATGCGCAGACCTTGTGCAGATGAGGGAGGGGCACCCCTGCCACCAGGGGTGAAAGTACCTTGGTGGCATGCTTAATGCAACTGTTTAAATCCTCGAAAAATCGTACGATGATGAAATTCCTCGAGAGCTGGCACTGTGTCATTACATGGCCCCTGTAGGGTGTGCTAAAAGTTTGGACATGTTTTTAATAAGCCTCCACTGAGGCCGCTTGTAAGCCGCACCATCTCCGAGCTAGTCTCTGGGTATCGAGAGGGAACGTGTCCAGTTTATGGAGGAAGTGGGTCCTGTTGCTTTGTTGGCCTCGAAACTTCTCATGCTCTCAAAGGAGGCCATCACATGATACGTGATAGGCCCCTACATTTTTGGACCAGCGTGCAATATTGGAGAAATTTATTGCTTTGCTAGGGGTTCGCCGTTGGAAATTGCAGATCTGCAAGGCGGCATATGATAACAAGCTCGAAAGCGGCATGGAAACTCCTATGTGATGCAGGGTTAGATGAAAGAGGCACAAATGATGCTAGCTACTTATTTTGCCGAGAGTAGCACTCGGTACACATGTCTTTTCCAATTTTGGATGTCGGTAAAAATGAAAACCTAGATCTAGTTTACGACCCTTTCAGAGAGTTCTCTCGATAAAAGTTAAACCATAGATCTAGGTGTTACAATCTTTTCCGGGTGCCCCATCGTCAGTCTCTCGGGAAAGGTCCAGGGGACACTTAAGTGAAATCCCCGCGCTCCTTTTCATTTCTCATTTGTGCCTCTCCTCCTCTACACCCCGCTGCCTCCCGCCGGCTGGCTCTCCGCTGCCGCCACCTCAACCCGTGGGCATCCCCTCGCCACCAGCCGGCGCCGCCCCACCCCACGGGCACCCCCCCATCGGCCGGCGAACCACCCCGCGGGCCCGCCCACCCCACCGGCGCCGCCCCCACTCCCCATTTCATGAGCTTTCCCCTCCCCACTACAACATGGATGGATGAATCGATGCATAGATGGATGGATGTTCTGGGTGGATGTATGTATGGATGAATAGATGCATAGATGTGGATGGACGAATAGATTAGATAAATTTTGATGATGTTGTATGGATGGATGCTATGCATGGATGTATGTATGGAGTTATGTAGTAGTTTCTATCTAGTACTTTTTGTAGTAGTTTTTATGTATTAGTTTTTGTAGTAGTTGTTATGTAGTGTTTTTATGTGTTAGTTTTTGTAGTAGTCTTTATGTAGTAGTTTTTATGCAATAGTTTTTATCTTGAGCGAGTGTCGACCATATTTTAAAGATGAGAGATGTTTTCAGAGGAATGGTATCAACTACTGTCATAGGGGGTTGCGCTTCCTCTGCTCCTCCGGTATGATCTTTGTAAAGTAGGAGGAGCAGAAGAAGATCGATCATCACCAACAGTCGATAAGAGTTTTTCTTGGAGGAGAATAAATCGACTTTTAATTTGACGATGGCGGTCAATCTGGGTGAGTTCGTCCTGTGATATACATTTGTCAGACACGATGGACTCGCCCAGCTTGACAATCACCGAAAGTCAAAATTCCCGTGCGAGAGTGTCCACCATATATACCACCACCAGACAGAGTGTTCGACATATTTGATAGATGAGAGATGTTACTGACTGTTGCCCTAGGGCCACTAGTGCAGAACCGGCCTTTAGTGCCGGTTCGTAACGGGCTTTAGTGCCGGTTCGCCAACCGGCACTAAAGAGTGGGGACTAAAGGTCCCCTCCCTTTAGTACTGGTTCGTCACGAACCGGCGCTAAAGTGCCACCACGTGGCACGAGCCAGGCCCGTTTGCGTGGAGGGCATTAGTACCGGTTGGTAACACCAACCGGTACTAAATGTTTGGGTGTTTTTTTTAGTTTTTCTTTAATTTTGTGTTTTCAATTTAATTTAGTGATTGTTTTACATTATAATGAGTTGTTAAATCATTAGGTGAAAGTACCGCGGATTAGTTTCGACTGGATGCATTATTGGATATCTCTACTAGCTAGCTAGCTAGAGTATATGCCATATCCATATTATACTTGATCAACTATAATATATACGGATATGGCATATACTTGATCACTTAGTTAGGATCCATCCAACTGAAACTAATCTGCGGTTTCTTTCATTAATTGATATAATAATTAACTAGCTATCTAATCACCACCAGCACTACTAGCTGAAAGAAGAAACATTCACTTGTACCAGAAGCAAAAATATTATCGATCGAGTTCAACATGATTGTCATGATATTATAAGCGTTCATATATAACACCACAAAAGCAAATCACTTAACTTCAGAACGAAGAACACGGACATGAAAGGACAAGTACTAATTAAGAGCAGCATGAAGAACTAGCTAAATCACTCCTGCTAGCTACTCTCTCTGGTAAAATAGCATAGAACATGTATAGCTCTCCTGATTGATCATACTGGAGCATGCCGATGAACCTGTCTCCTAATCATGGGCTGCGCTTCTCATTGCTTCCCCCTAGTACTTCTCTGCGATCATTAACAATTTTCCTCCAATCTTTCACTATTAAGCATTCATCGCTTCTAGAAATCCTGAATGCATTCATGTGCAATGCAGGATATCTTGGCCGTAAGCTAACAATTGACATCTGACCTTTTGTCTCGATCCCCTGAGGCACAACTGTCATCGGGAGTCCCTGTTGAAGAACATTGTATAGTACTTAATTAATATACATAGCAATGAAAGTTTAGCAAAAAAATTATGTATGCAAAACATGCACTGAGGACAAATAGTAAATATCTTACCATCATTTCTAAATAGATGTGACCGTAGTTCAATACCATCACTATTGGTCGCACGTTTTGAGTACTAACATTTCTAAGTGCAGGAAGAAAATTTGTCTTGACAATATGAAGATCCTCAAGCCATGAAACATAATGACTTATCTCCTCGCAGTTTAGTTCAGCTCCGGGATAGTAGTAGGTCATGTCTACCAAGCGTCGGACATGTTTGGTTGAATGGAGATAAGCTGTCAATAGAAATTAGTTGTCAGTTATTTTTGAATAAGCAATATCAAAGACAAAAATATAGTTGAGAAGAACTCACATAATGGTAGAACTGGAGGCGTCTGCAGATCAACCCATATGTCTCTATTACCTTCAATATCATCTTCCGGACGAATATCAAAGGTGATAACCATACCAGGCTCAAATGCATAAGCTTTGCATAGTGCTTGCCAAGTTTTGCATTCAAAATAGATGTACGTGTGTGCATTGTATACTTTGACGTTGAAAGTATAACCATCATGCTCAGTTTTCAGGTAAGCTCTCTTTACCTCCATAGTTTCCATATCTTTGAAACCTATCTTATCCAAGACAAAAATTCTTGCATGGCACGGGATGCGCTAGTAGAATAGTGAAAATTAAAAATTATAAGTCAGGCAAATGAAGCATATATAAGTCATGCTTAATTACGAAAACAGACTT